AGGATAATTAAAAAGGCTTTTTTTAAGTATGTTAACAGTAAAAGGAAGACTAGGGAGAATGTGGCTCCCCTGTAGTCAGGGAAGAGGTGGTCCGAGAGCGCCTGGGCAACACCAGTGTTCACAAATCCATGGGACCCGATGGGATGCATCCACGGGTGCATCTTCATCAATGACCTTGATGAGAGGATAGTGGCCACCCTCAGCAAGTTTGCTGATGATATGAAGTTGGGAGGATTGGCTGACACGCCTGAAGGCTGTGCTGCCATTCAGTGAGACCTGGACAGGCTGGAGAGCTGGGCAGTAAGAAACCAGATGAGGTTTAACAAAAGCAAGTGTAGAGTCTTGCATCTGGGGAGGAATAATTGCATGCACCGGTACAGGTTGGGGGATGAACTGCTGGAGAGGAGCTCTGCGGAGAGGGACCTGGGTGTCCTTGTGGACGACAGGTTGGCCATGAGCCAGCAGTGTGCCCTTGTGGCCAAGAGGGCCAATGGCATTCTGGGGTGCATTAAAAAGAGCGTGGCCAGCAGGTCGAGGGAGGTGATCCTCCCCCTCTACTCTGCCCTGGTAAGGCCTCATCTGGAGTACTGTGTCCAGTTCTGGGCTCCCCAGTACAAAAAAAGATGGGGATCTCTTGGAAAGAGTCCAGCAGAGGGCCACAAAGATGGTGAAGGGCCTGGAGCATCTCTCCTATGAGGAAAGGCTGAGTGAGCTGGGCCTGTTTAGCCTTGAGAAGAGAAGACTGAGAGGAGACCTGATCCAGGTCTATAAATATCTAAGGTGTGGGGGGCAGAGTGGCGAGGCTGGACTCTTTTCAGCGGTATGTGGAGGCAGGACAAGGGGAAACAGCTGAAAACTGGAGCATAGGAAGTTCTGCACAAATGTGCGCAAGAACTTCTTTATGGTGAGGGTGACGGAGCACTGGAATAGGCTGCCCAGGGAGGTTGTGGAGTCTCCTTCTCTGGAGATATTCAAGACCCGCCTGGATGCCTGCTTGTGCGACCTGGTGTAGGGAACCTGCTTTGGCAGGGGGGTTGGACTCGATGATCTCTGGAGGTCCCTTGCAACCCCTACAATTCTGTGATTCTGTGATTCTGCCAAATGCTTCTCCCAATGCTTAAATGTTCTGCCACCCATTGCATTCAACATGGTTTTTAACAACCCATTGTAGCGTTCAATTTTACCAGAAGCTGGTGCATGATAGGGGATATGATAAATCCACTCAATGCCATGATCTTTGGCCCAAGTATTTACAAGAGAATTTCTGAAATGAGTCCCATTATCTGACTTGTTTCTCAAGACCTAATATGGTGTTTCGGGAGGTAGCATGGGGTACTGCATATGTTTCAAGCCACCCAGTGGTTGCCTCCACCATGGTAAGCACATAACAATTACCACTGCGAGATCATGGCAAGGTGATATAATCAACTTGCCATGCCTCCCCATATTTATACTTTTGCCATCGCCCTTCCTGAGCATTAACTCAGTATTCGAAAAACATCTGTCAAACCAAGCAGAAAGCCTGGAAACTGGTCTGAACATCGTGTTGTTTGTAAAATTAGCTATTCCATTTGGGATGTAGTTGTTTGTAAAATTAGTCATTCCATCTGGGATGCAAATGTCAAAATTCATATCATACCACATTGCATATAGGTACCCATATAGGTACCATACAGCTGTCTCCATCAGTGCCCTTATGTGGTTATATATGAACACAATTCCACAACAAGTAATTATGACAGTGATGTTTGGCCAGTAAGTCGCAAGTAACACCGTAGCTTTTAATCCCTTACACAGCGCTCCCACTATAAAGAGTGGGTTCATCGCTGGTATCTGCTAAAAAGGGGTTAATGAATTGAAGCTAACAAGAGGAGGGGGAAAAAAACAATAAAAGGCACTACCCAGAGTAAGCAGTGCTCAAAGTTTACAAATATCCCAGAATACTGGCAGTACGCCTGGTCTTTCAAGGTCAAGTTTTCCAGCACAAAAACCTGAACTACTGATAATGCTCCCTAACGAAGCTCTCTAAGAGCAGAGAGAGAGATTCATTCTAAAAGCTAAAAAGCGGCTATGCCCACATTCTCCACCAAAATCTGTCACGGAATTAACTAGACCAATCTATGCCTGTGACAGGGGGCAGTAGGCCCCTGCCCCCCACACCCCCCCCCCCAGCCCCACAAAATGGGAAGGAAGGAAGGGAGGAAAAAAATAAACAGCAGCAACAATCTATGGAGGTAAACTTATTTTACTAACCATGATATTGGAATGCAAGATAACACAATATAATACAATCTAATCGAAATTGAGACTAATAAATCAAATAAGATAGGAGAGAGAGAGTTCCTGAGACCGAGTCAAACCTGAAAAGCTTGGAATGGAAAGCACCCTCCAGCACCCACTGCCAGGCAGTAAGAGACCGCCCCACCCGGAAGGGTCAGATCCCATGACTTCCACAATGTATAGGGATAGGTACCTGGAATTGGAGCATTAACACTTTAATTCCAGTGCACTACATGATGTTTTGATGTGGAATACTGAAAACCAAAAAACATAAAACCACGACGGAAAAAATGTCAAAGATGGCTCAGCATTTCACATCACTATTTAAATATGAGTAGAACTTATCTTTATTTGATGTTATTCAGATTCCCAGTAGTAACTATTTACAGGAAACATTTCTAATAGAGGATCTTAATCACGTTTCCAGATGCACGTGGGTAGATTGTGCGTGGAAATCTCAAGCACTGTCTGTCAAAATTGGCACCTATTTTATTTGCCTCTTTTTACCTCATTTGTTCATTAATGTGTTATCTGCGTATTAATAAAAATGTAAGAAACTCATTTGCATTTTTTCCCAACACAGAATGGCTTATTTCTCTAAGTTTTGAGAGCCAAAAATGTACATGTGAATCTAAATGGTACTTAGAGGAATGCATGCATTATTAAGAATAGGGCTCTTGAAATAACACACTTAATAGAGTCAAGGTCTTACCCTCACTATCTTTTAACATTAAAAAAAAATCATTGCAATTTATTAATCCTAATTAAGTATGTGGCAAGTACAAATATGAAATGTTTTGTTACTTTTATATGCTTTGGTTTTGCATTTGATTCTCAAAAACATAAAAATTAAATGATAATTGTAATGTAGGAAAATTGCTTTTCCATCTACTTCTGTGTTTGACTTCGTATGTAGATCTGACTTGATCTGTTGGATTTACAGTTTCATATATGTTACAGGAAGATCCACGACTGAAATTTCCAGTGCATTTGAGATCAAAAGCTTCTTTAAATCCTAATGATTTGGGCCCTCTTCCTGTAAGTAAGAATGTGTATGTATTTGAATATATACCTGCTATCCTGTAAGAACTGATCTGCTGTTTCAGTCTTATATTGTATGCATACACATACATCGCTCTTATTGCTTTTATGGAGCTCCTAAAGCAATGTTTATAACAAAAAAAAATTCTTGTTATCAGTGAATCAGTGAGGCTCTTTGAAGCCAGCTCATAGTATTTCTGAAATCATTAAATATTTGTTTGCTTATCTGAAGCTTTGAACTTTGAAGAAACGTTGAAGAACTGAGGACTAGGTGAAACATTTTTTTTCACTCTAATATTTACAGTAACCCATAGGTGTTTCAGAAGTAGAAGCAGAAACTCTCAAACCTAACGAATTATGAGCAATCTATTTTTTGTGATCATTTCATCATAGTAGGAAATGGGTATAAACCTCAGTGCAAGAAATTTCCACTTCAAAACTTAAAAAACTATTTACTATTTTGAATATAGTCACCTGGATAAACAGCCAGTGCTTTGAAATTTGCTAGATTTTTGGTGTCAGCATACTGCATCTGTTTTTGTGTTTTCTACCTGACAAGCACCTTTCAGACAATTTAAGTTGGCATGGATAAAGTATTGCTTCACACTGTGTGAGAGCGGTGGTATTTCCCTTATTTTCTCTGTTTTTTTGTTTGTTTGTTTGTTTGTTTCCCATTTCCAGCCTGGTTGGGAGGAAAGAATACATTTGGATGGAAGAATGTTTTATATAGATCATAGTAAGTAAGCTCTCAGGTACTGCAGCAATTAGACAAAGGGAAGTAATAAATATCTAAGCTTTATAATTTTACTCTTCATTTAGGAAGCCAGGTGTTGATATGTGGAAACTGATACCAGAACCTTAGTGCCTTCCTACAGTACTGTATATTCACTGAAAGCTTTATTATAATTGTCTCATCAAGCTTTGTCCCTCTCTGACTTGTAAAGCATTAACATTTCTTCTTTCTGGTTTCTTTTGTTCTTGCTGATATTTTGGATTCTTTGTTGTTGTTGATAGTCCCATGGCTTATTTGCACTTTAATAAATTAAAATATACACTAAGAATAGAAAATAAGATGAGAAAAGATGATATGGCCACAACTCCACATATAGGCAGCAGGTAAATTAACACTGATAATTCTCTCTTCTTGTCTGAGAAGGTCTTGTGGCAGCGTTGATTCTGATCTTATTTCCTGTTTATAGCATGTTATATTGCACCCAGCCCATTAATATCTATTCAGTTCTTCTGTTACTTAAGTTCTAGTGTAAGCGATGTTTCATTGTAGATTTGTCTTATTAAAGCACCTCAGAACAACTGTGTTAGTTTTTGTTGCTTAAAAACAAAGCAGCACAGAAAGGGTGTTCTTTGTTTTTTTTTAAGACTTAAGCTGGACTTTCTAATGGGGTATTTCTACTAACAGGATAATCTTCATAAAAATAGATAACTAACAAAACTATTGGAAGAGTATATTTGCTACACAAAACCTAGAGAATTAAAATATTAAACAATTATGCATATTTGACAATATTATGTTTTTCCTTCAATATCAGTAATATTAAATCCTAGCATATTTGTAGTGGTGTGTGTATATATATAATATAAAGTTATTAAATCATTACTAAATCATTATTGTTTCTAAATTGCATACATAATTTTAAATAAAAAACAGAAATAGTACACTTGTGAAGAATATTAGCTTCTTTCAAACATCAGTACAGAAGTATTCTTTATATCTTCTGTAATTGTTTCTACCAACGGATGTCCGGAAACAAATCTGGCAAGTTATGCTAAAGTGATGCTGCTGAAAAGTCACAGAATAAAACTTTCATTTTTAAAATATCTGTATATTTGCTGACCCTCCCTAGATTTGAAAAGATTAAATTTTTCAGTCTCTAAAAGTAAATGGAGTGCTGAAGGTATACATTTCCTGAAATAATTTAATTTTTTTAATAAAAATATATTCATTTGCATCTGAAGTCTCTTTCTATTCCATATATGAACTTTTTTAGCTTTTTAGCAGACTTTATAAAAATTATGTGGTTTTTTTTGTTGTTTGTTTGTTTTGATGGTGCTAATTATGCTAATTGTTTCTAGCAGATAGCCTTTTTGTCCCAGGGGATTCCAGAAGCAGAGGTTATGCCAGGGGCCTTACAAGTGGATGTGCTGCAGCTCCATTGTGAGAAAATTGTGCTCAGTATTTTTTGAATGACTGCCAGCAGCACTCAGTGTTCAGTGATTTGGCTCAAACAATCACAATGTAGCATTTGTTTCCACAGTATCAGTAAGGAAGTGCAATGACATTTGGCCATAATGTTAGGTCTATGACAGAGCCTTGTGGCTCTTAATTGTTTCATTACTAACTTGAGAACATATGTTGAAGTCAACCATGGGTGCAATCATCTGGGCTTCCTCTAGATAGATATGCAAATCTCAGGAGTCCAGTACTACAATAAACTGGCCACCATTCTCTGCTACAGTGGTTAGTTAAGATGCAACAAATGTACTCAATTTCATTACTAGAATACAGTTGAATCAATTAACTTTGAACATTTATACTACTATTAATGTCCTGGCTATCCAGATATGTATTGTAATTCTTAGGCATAATTATCCGATACTGTTATTCTGTTTTGTTATATGTTTTTCTCATCCCTGAGGAAAACTGTAATGAAGTCCAATGCAGCCATCACAGAAAACACCACTGTAGCTGCTATGAAGCATGCCACAAATTAAGGAAGCAAAATGCTAATAAAATAATTTCGGTATCACTTGTAACCTAATAGTCTGAAAATATGATACTTTTCAGATTTTTAATTGTATGCTGTTCTAATTTCCTAGGAGCCTTATAGGAAAATATGTTCTACCTCTTAGAAGGTATTGTGGAGTACAACACAAAGGCTTTCCAATAATATTCAATATTGTTACCAGTGGTTCACTGAGAGAAGGATGGATGTGTTAAATGGGTTCTCCCATTCTTCAATATATTGAGTAGTGGATTAGAGGGAATGTACTCAATAGATCAGTAGAAAACAGCAACATAAGAGAGGCAAGAGGAGCTCACTGGAACAGGATTAGGATCCAGAATGACTCTGATGAGGTGTAGGTGCAGTGTAAAGATGTTTTATAACAATTGTGAAGTACTACTCAGAATAGAAATAGTTAGCAGAATTTGTATTGAAAGCACATGTAAAATATCAACTGAACATGAGCTAATTCATCCTATGATGTATCAACAGGAGCATCTTAAATAAGACCTGAGGTAATCCTCCTAATCTCATCAGCACTGGTAATGTCTATAATGATACAGCACAGAGTACCAAACTTCAAGTAACTAGTGGACCATTTCATAAGGGTCCAGAGGAATAGAGGAAATGCTTCAAAGTCAAAAGGCTTGATTTATGAGGAAAGAAAGAGTATTGCGTTTGTGTGAAGACTCGAGAGAGATGGTAGAATTTCAAAAATGTGCTTTAGAAGGAGTTTATTTGATATCCATGTCCACTTTAGATAATACAGTAATACAAGGAATCTTGAGCTACAGTTCTGGCTCAAGTGGGTCGAGTTGGGTTCTTATTGTGAGGTCATTGAAGCCCTGGAAAAGTGTTTGTAATATGAAGTTCCTATCACTGTAATATTCTGAAAAACAGCTTAGACAATGATTTATCAGTGATAGCATGTGCTCTTAAACATATGCTAGGGCAGTAAGAGGGAATGGACAAACTAAATCATTTCCAGTTCTGCCTTTGATTTCATAGAAATTTACCCACCATCATTTGTACTTGTTAGTTTCAAGTAGGTATAAATAATGAATTGGTATAAAAGCATTAAATGTTGCAGAAGGTAATGTGACTGACCAAGAAGAAGCCAGATGAAAAGGACCATCCCAGGAGTCAGCCTCTGGCAGGCAGTGAGCTGTGCAGTATTTGTGGTTCCTGGAGCTGTTGGTCTGACAGCCTTCCTCCGTATTGCCACGAGCACTAAACAGACTTAATGTATAAAGGAAAATAAAACAGTAATTTAATATTAAATTAACTGCTAGATCAAACTTCCTGAAGTGTGCTTGTGATAATTTTGAATTTTCTTTAGTAACTTTTAATGAGTGTCAGCTTACAAAATCCAGTCAATTTAAAAATTAACTTGGGATGCTCAAAATTTAGGGGTCTTTTCCAACTGTAGGAGAATGGAAAATATGTGTTATTTTAAAATAAGTGGATTTAGCTCTTTGCTTTTACCTATAGTATCCTTAAAAACAATTATCTTGAAACTTAGTGTTTTTATTCCCCAAATCTAGAATTACAGAACGTAAAATCCTGACTACTTTAATATGCAGTTTATAAATTAAAGCATGTAACTAACAGGTGTATTATTAGTAGTATTAGTACCCTTCCAGTGCAGGAAATATGACTTAAACCTTGCCATTGGAGATGGCATTTAGTTTGTTATTTGGAGCATTGTATTATTGTTGCAACATCATACTGTTGTGTTCAGAATCTTTTGAGGAACAGCTGTCTGGAGGCAGAGTTTCACCATACTCCTGTATAACCTCACTGTATGACTCTATAATGCTCTTGGTGCTCTTGAAAGCTGTAGATGAAAAGAATTGAATTCTGTTACCTTACTGCCAAAATCTGCTTTCTCAAAACTGAATTATTTCTTATACCATAACTGTATAATTAATGATCGTTTTAATTAAAATCAATGTCTAGGAGTTTTTTTCCTAAAGAGTTGTTATCCCTTCACATTCAAATTTAAATTCAGACTGTTTTAAAATTTTTAAACCTTGGCTCTCTTCTTACAGAATTTTGAATAAGTAAACGTTGTCTATCATTTGACAAAGTGTTTGGGTTTCTTTACCACTCAGGCATAAAATCTGTGTGTTTCTAATACAAGTTGAATCCAAGATCATATTCAAATAGAACATTTACTACTACAGGTGTTGAAATAAAAGCAGTGTAATTACACTGGATTATGCTGTAGTTCTGCATTTTTGAATGAGTGTTTTCAACT